GGTCACAGGTAATTGCTCTTCATGTTATGGGGAATTATGCTCTAGCATCAGTGGACGAATAAATCTCCTATGCTAGCTTTCTGAGGAATGTGTCTAGTGCAGTGGTTCTCATACTTGTTTGATCAGACCGCCTTTCTTTGTGTCTGTAGTTGTTCATGTGCTCTCCCCTTCCCCCAAATACATATACCGCTATGCACCTCTGAAGGCAGAGCGGAGAGAAGTGACTGCCGACCGGGCGCCCAGTTCGGAGAGCAGTGCCATGCCAGCAGCAGCACAGAAGTAAGGGAGGCAATGTGAAAAGTTACATTTGTCATCATTTTTTGCAGTAGACTTAGTGCCCCATTGCTGCCCTTATTTCTGCGCTGCTGCTGCCACCCCAGGGCTGACAGCCAGAACCCTGCCACCCCGGAGCTGACAGCCAGAGTCCCTCTGTCTCCCAGTGAGGGATTGGGAGATGGGGGAAGGAGTGCCCAAGCCCAGGTGGCGGGGCTCCGGCCGTCCCCTTTGTCCCCGCCTCCCATGTGTGCACAGCCCTTCTGCACGAGCCCCAGCCACCTGAGGATGATGGTCAGAGCTCTTAAAAAAAACAAAAAACAAAAACAAAAAACCCCACACCCTTCTACACACAGCTCGTGCCTCCCTTGTCACATTCCCGATTCTCCCTTGTGAGGCCCGCCCCATAGTTTGAGAACTGCTGATCTAGTGGATAAGCAGGGAACCTGGAATCAGGTTATACTCCTGGCTCTGCCTCCAGTTTTCTTTGTGACCTTGAGTGACTTACTTAACAATTCTGCCCTTCCATTTCCTCCTTTGTAAAAATGGAGACCGTATTTGCCATACAGTACTGTGCAGCTTTAAATGTTTGCAGGATGCTTTATCATTGGATGAAAAGACGTTTCAGAAGTGAAAAGTATTGTTACAGTACTGAAGTATCTTTAGCACTCCACAGTGCAGGATGTGTCTGAGTTTGTTCATTTACCCTAATTTAGAACCACTGCTGTTAATATATCTACTTTTTTTCATTGATAGAAAAATTCAAGTCTGTAGGCCTTGCACACTCACTCAGTGTCTGGACTGTGATGCTTGAAAATTGGTATTGCTGTTCCTTGGTTAGAGAAAGTGCAAACAAAATATTTCATCTTAATGAAAAAGTATTAATTTATCTATTGGGGAAGGTTTAAACTACCGTATATACTCATTCATTAGCCCATTTGTTTATAAGCAGACCCCCCAAGATGGTTAGGTAAAAATAGCAAAAACTGTATGACCCTTTCATAAGCTGACCCTATATTTTAGGAGTTGGCAAACTTTGGCTCCCGACCCGCCAGCGGCTTACCCTGACGGGCTGGGAGCCAAAGTTTGCCGATCCCTGTTATATTTTAAAAGCTGGCATCACAAGCAACACTCAAGTTTTGCTGAATTATTTTAATGTAATCTAACAAAAAAACTGTTGTTATAACAACTGAACAAATACGTATTCACTTCAAAATTACAGTCATTTAAAATTAGTAAATGGATATTTTAAACTTCTAACTTAGAAGAATGAGACTTTAAAAAGTCTTAAAATCCTTCAAAGTCTGAATCAGTCTGATTCACCAAACAGTTCATTAAACTCGGCTTCAGTCACAGCTGCACCTGCATAGTCATCGTAGATGTCAGCAGTGTCATCTTCAGAGTCAGATTCCTTATCATCAGCCTCTGTTGTATCATCAAATATGGCATCATCTTCTGACCCGTCAAGTGCATTGCTGATACAGCATTTCCTAAATGATTTTTCTACCACTTCCGAGGGAATAGGCACCCACGCGTCCTTGATCCACTGGGCGACCAGATTGATTTCGGGCTTCATAAGATTCCCGCCTTTTGTCAACTTCGCCATGCCTGAGCACAGCCATTCAAACCACATTTTGCGTAGCCTGTCCTTAAAGGGTTTGTTCAGGCAGACATCAAGCAGTTGTAGAACTGAAGTTAAGCCTCTAGATCTTACAGCCAAAGTAGTTTTCATATTTTTGGCCACATTTTTCACCTCATCCGTCTTGTGTGCCCTGAACATGTCCCAAACGAGCATAGCAGGTTTCTTGAAAAGTGCTGCTGATCTCTTCTTCCACCTTTTTCCAGCCATTCAATAGTCCCACTTTCATCCATCCATCCATCCCTTTTCATGTGCATGTATGATACCACCAGCAGGAAATTTCATGTTTTTAGGCAAGGTTTTTCTTTTAAAAAAACAAAAACAGGAGGGAGCTTTGATCCATTTACCAAACATGATAAAAAAAATCCATTTTACGGTGGTTTCATGGCCAGTGGTTTTAATTTAAAACTGTTTTTTCACCAACACCGGTTACCGTTCTGTTGCTCGGGAGATGGAATGTCATTGGTGTTTCATCCATATTTCCTATTTGTGACAGTTCAAATGCATATTCCCTTTGATATTTTATAATAAATATTTGAAAAGATTCGATTTTTTCTTCCAGATCTCTAGGCAGCTTTTGCGCAATCTTTGTCCGCTGACGAAGCGAGAGTTCATGAAGCGAGTACACCAACCCGCTGATGCGACAAACATTGATGGCTTTACTGACTTGTATTTGTCGTCTTTTGACATTTGCAGAGCACGCAGACGAATTCCAGTTCTAGTGACAATGTACCCATTTTGTTGACATTCAGCAACCCAATTATTGATCTTTCTCTAGCTCAGGAAATGAAGCGCACCTCGTTGGACATTTTTTTTCTTGCTTCTTGGCATGTCTTTTAGTGGTGTTTTATTTTTTTGCCATTATCTTACTTGCTTCTCATGGATACAGAATTCACAAGCAGCGGCGCAATTATTGTTTGCTTCTGCATATTCAACAACTTTAATATTGAACGTTGCATGATAAGACCTTTTCCTTTTGATTTCACCGTTGTCCATTTTAAATATTAGTATGAAAATAGAGTATTATTGTAGTTATAGATTTTGTAGGACTTTATGTAGGAATGTTACCTGCTTTATCAATAATAATTTGACAGTGTTCTTTGTTTATTTCAAAGCAGCCCTGTAGATTGGCATGTCTGTAGGGATAACAGGCTATTTCAATTTTATTAGAGATTCCATCGATTCTGCACGTTATATTTTCATATTGGCTCAAGACTTATGAGGTCCATTTCTAGCCAATCTAGTCTACTAAACAAAGCCTTTGCAACTTTAAAAGGCTGCTGAATTGACATCAATAAATGGGTCGGCAAACTTTGGCTCCTGACCGTCAGGATAAGCCACTGGCGGGTTGGGACATTTTATTTACTTGGAGCGACTGCAGCCACAGGGAGCTGAGGGGCTCCATGCCTGCAGTCGCTCCAAGTAAACAAAACGACAATGTATTAGATATTCAATTCAATGATTCCATAGAGTTTAAAATCATCAAATTTTGGTGTAGGCCCATTTATAAGCTGATCCCCGCTCTTTGATGCGTCAATTTTTTTACCAAAAACATTCGGCTTATGAATGAGTATATACTGTACTTTACTTTTGCTGCTGTATCCTTCATTTTGAATATCAGCAAACAGGCTGCTAGGTGGCCGATGTGAAATGAGATTAGTGAGCATATGACTGATTCTATTGGCACTTGCATTTTCTCAAAAGAGAGGCAAAGAAATAAATGGAAGGGAGGTTAGAAATGTCCCTCAAGATTAAAGATTAGAAACATTGAGAGGCAACCTAGAGTCGTTGCACTGCTGCAACCTGTATGTGTATTCGGAGGATACATAAGAGACCCTCACAAATACTATAGGTGCTTTACAAAATAATTTATTTTAAGGTTGAAAAATTAAACAAATATTTTAAAAAATATATTCATGTGGCTTCCATTAAGAAAACTCAAATGAGTATATGCCCTTTTATTTAGAGCTATGATTATTCTCATGGGGAATTTAACTTAGAAGTTGGGGGGTTCTGATGTTTGTACAATCTTGGGTTTCCTGATTTTGGAAGATGAAAATTGAGTGCTTTAGAATACACTCTTTGTTAACATGTAATTGTAATTAATTAATTAGGGAATACTACAACAGACACTGTGTCCCCTGAGAAAGGAAGGCCCGGCTGTTGGATTTCCCGAAGTTATAGCACATGACATCTCCTCCCTAATTAGGTTTCTTGATGCTAGGGAAATAGAGAGGCAATTCCATTCTCCTTGTCTTATTCCACTGTAAAAACAAACCAAAGAATCTGTATTCCCCTCCCTTTAACAAGGTCCGTATTCTATATAAACACAGTTGTTAATAATCAGAAATGGCTAAATCCTGTTCCCTTTAAAGTCATTTAGAAATTTTGCCTTTGACTTTAATGGCCACAGGATCTGGCTGGCTCAAAATGCATATTTCACAGTTGATTGCTATATGTCTGGAAGCTGGCGCAGACTCACCCAGCGGTGCCTCCTGCTGGTCACTTCCGGGAATTAGCTCTCCAGCTTCCAGAGTGCCCTCTTCAGGCCAGTGATCCACCTTGCCACTGCTGGCCTCCGTATCCCTACTGGACCCTGGTGCTCCTTTAACTGGGTGCTTCCCCCCCAGCAGTACCCACAATTCTGGGTCTCCCCCTCCCAGGGGAACCCCCACCCACTATCCCCACTTCATCTCAGAATATGGCTACTGCCAGTCACCATCTAGCCCCCACTCACTGGGGCAGACTGCAGTGTACACCACTCATCACAGGCAAGGTTGGGTTGGACCTGCTGCCTCTCTCTGGAGCCTCAGTACTAGTCTTAAGCCCTCAGCTAGGCCCGCAGCCTGGCGGTTTTCCACACTGGAGCTACCCAGCTCCTCTAGCCTTTCCCCAGCCCTGCTCCACTCCCCGTACCCTACTCAGCTCCCTTGCAGCCAGGCCCTTCTCTCTCTACAAGCAGAGAGAGACTTCCCATTTACCCCTCGTTTCCCTGCCTTTATAGGGCCAGCTGAGTCTGATTGGGGCGTGGCCCCAGCTGCAGCCACTTCCCCCAATCAGCTCAGCCTAAAAGCTGCTTTCTCCAGTTACAGTCCCCTCCCAGGGCTGTTTTTAACCCCTCGGGACCGGAGCGGGGTGACTACCCCGCTACAATATTTGATATATAACTTGTGTTTTAGTGGTTCTCAACCTTTCCAGACTTCTGTACCCCTTTCAGGAGTCTGATTGTACCCCAAGTTTGTACCCCAAGACTCTGTCTGCCCAGGTCTGAAGGCAGTGCTGAAGTAAGTAGTGCAGAAGTAAGAATGGCAATACCATACTGTACCTTTACTTCTGCCCTGCTGCTGGCGGCAGCCACTACCTTCAGAGCTGGACATCTGGAAAGTGGGGGCTGCTAGCTGGGGCATTCATGTTGTTTGCGACACGGGAGGATTATTTTTTTTAATCCTGCCCCATCCTGCCTTACAATACCCACTCCACCCACTCCCACATTGTTTGTTGAATTTTTATCCTTCTTCCTCTGTTATCGCAGCAGTACATGGGGGATCCCTGTCCTGCTTCATGGTTCTAGAGCCTGTTGTAAAACTAGGCAAATAAGATGAATTGGCATACCCCTTGGAAGATTTCTGCGTACCCCCCCAAGGGGTACATGTACCCTGACAGAAAACTGTCTTAGGAGATCTGAATTTAATGCAGTGGGTGGAACCATGGGCTGATATTTTCAAAAATAGATGCTTAAAGTTAGGGTCCTAAATTTAGTGCCTAAATATGGACTTAGGCATCTAGCTTTAGGCACCTATTTCTTGAAAATCTTGGCCTATATTTTAAAAACGTTTCTCAGCTTTTTCTTATCAGTTTACTTAATATATGAGTCATATAAATAAGATCACATTTTATGTCCCATTTGAAAAAATGTGATACAGTTTATCACTTTGAGCCCATTTCAGCTGCCTCTACCTTTTATTGCAGCTTAATAAATTAGAACGTGGGAGTTGTAAGCACATATCCCTCCAATGAAGCTGTTTACATTCCTAAGTTGCATTTCTGTTTTTTGCTATTGTAGCGTGCAGTTTTTTGCATGTTCTAATTTGCCATGACGTGGTCAGTGCTGTTTCCTTCCTGTTGCTTGCAAGCCTGTGCTAGAGATAAGGATACATTTACAGTACATTTTAAAGAGAGAGGCTGCTTAGTGTGAGAACTCCAGGGCTTTCTGGATTTTAGAAGGATTAGTTAAAAAGGAGTATGTATTTGTTTTATCTAGTCTATGCTTTAGGAGTTAACCAAGATAAAGTGAATCATCCATTTAACTGGCAAAATAACAACTTTTCAAAATTGGGCCAGCAAATGAGGAGGAGAAAACAATAGTACCTGCTGTATCCAATAACTTATTGCTCTGGGATTTTATATTTTGCCTTGAATTTTCTCTTAGATACTTCATTAACAAGTATGGGAGCTGCATGCTGAGTATCAAGTGAAAAATAAAATGTCAATAACTATTGTATTTAAATTATCTTTTTTTGTTTTTACTTGTCAGTATGCTACTTTTATTTTTATTTTAATCTGATACACTTTGAAACTCATGTCCCACTTGGTGAAACAAACTGAACTGTTTATGAAGCACACTAAATTAAACTTGTTCTTATCTGTAAAAATAAGATCTCTAAAGATACGGGAGTGTCTGACTTTATGTGATGTAGATGTGGATCTCTTTATCACTCTGAACAAACTCTTATGGCTGTGCTGTACAATTAAGGCAACTACTTATTCATTGTAATATTTTTGTTTTTCAGGGGTGAAAGGTTATCTAACTGAGGACATTTCAGGAAAGGTTTCCCCGGGTTTGTTTATCTTTGAGCAGGGAAGAACCCAGGAAGATTGGCTGTCCAGGAATTATTGGCCCAGACACCTGGTTCATTTCATAATCGTGTTTTCCTGCCTGACTGGATATTGGAAACAGTCTCCATTCCTTTACATTTGACAGCATTTTTCTTCTTCTGTGGAACTGAGACCTGGGAATGCTTTATTATGGCAGCAGTTGTACAACAGAATGAGCTCGTGTTTGAATTTGCCAGCAACGTCATGGAGGATGAGCAACAGGTATGAGATAAAAAAAGAAGCTATATTAGTTTGTCAGTGATGTGCGTATTCTAAAAATATCAGAAAACATGTCGCCCTCTTTTTTTTTTTTAACTAAACATTGAGATCATTATTACCACAGAAAATGTTAGCACGGTTTCGAAAGTTCACTGTTGCTTCATGCAGTGTTTGTGAACAAAGCAGAAAATAGTTCAAGTGCTTGGTAGTCATGACCTTGTGACTTCTGTGGTATTGAAGAGACCATTTCTTCATTGTTAACAGATCTGTGCCAGTAGATCCCATTGGTAGATGCAGAATTCCAAAGCCCTAGTATTTAGCAGTCTTTTTAACCCTTCCAATACACTTGGATAAGATTATAAATATGGGGAGGGTGATACTCCACAGATAACCTTCTGGTGGTTTTTCTGGCTATCTTGGATACCATATGTACGTTATGGGTTATTTTCTGAACTGTATTATTATAGGGTTTTGTCAGCTACTCAAATGCAACTAGCAATTTAAACTCCAATAATTTATTTAGGCTAGTGTCTGTCAATTACAAAAAAAAACCCTCCATCCCCTTCAAACCACTCTCTCAATTAGTTATCTAAGCCAAGCCCTGTGTCTAAATGATGTAAAATCTGCCTTGAAGGATTCCTTAAATGCAAATTATAATAATCATACTTATGGAGGGAAGAGGGCAACTGCTCTTAAGAGATTTCAAATGCCTGTTAAAGGTAAGATTTGTATTTGTTAGCAAGGCATTATTACAGGGAGGCAGTTTTCAAAATGCTGCTAAACACAGTTACTGTCTATCCAGGCCATAATATCTTTGAAAAGTTGTGTGTGAAAAGCACCTATCCCAGTTTTGTAATCATGTTTATGGTCTTTTTTTTTTTAACATGACCTACCTAAAGGGCTTTGATTGGCTAACATCTGCTGTCACTTACTGTCACATGCTTCCAATGAAACTTGAGTTTGAACTGCTTACTCAATTTTGGGTGGAAGTTCTGGCAATGTAACTTCCTTCCCTATATTTTTCCAGAGTTCGTGACAGCCCAGGGATTCAAATATTGCAATTCCAAAAACTTAGTGGAAAGCAAGCCTTGTTTATTAGCATTATTTATTGTTGTTCTCACTTTCCCAGCCAATGGCAGAGGAGAATGCTGAGGAAGGAAAGGATGCTTCATTCCAGCTTCCTAGAGAAGAAATGAATCTGGCATGTTTTTGCTCTGTTTAAATATGTTTTGATGTAGACAAATGGAAATAGGCATAACATATAAAGAACATGATCAAATATTTCAAGAGGGCAATATAAACCTCCCTTAAGAGTTCTTCAACCTCAGAACAAATGCCTCCCTGGCATTCACTTTGGAAGCCCAATAAATCCTATGCTAGAAAAAGCCTAGGAAAACAGTCTTGTAGCATTTGTGACCCAATTAAGGCTATGACAGACTAATGGGAAAAAGTGAACTCTATAATGCCAACGATCGCTCATTGAGAATACTTTACTGCAAGTTCCTTCCAAACCTGGGAGATTTTAGCTCAATTGCAAGAGATGAGGATAAATCTAGAGATGGCTGATTTATGAGAATGAATCTTATGAAAAGGGACACTCTTCTACAGAAAAAGATCTGAGTGGCTAAAGTGGAAATTGAATATGGACGTGTCATATTATATTGTTACCAGAAAAAATGCTGTATTAGAATGTATAAACCAGAGGGATCATGTGGTAAGACCAGGGAGGTAGTTAATTATATACAGAATTGCTAAGGGTTTTGATTTCTGTGATGGATAAAATTGATATTTCTGTTTATATGTCCAGGGCTGGCAATTAGAAAGTTGTAGCCCTGAAAATATTTTGATTAGTCTAACAAAGATTTTTTTTTTCTAGCTGAGCTTTGAGTATTGGTGTCACCCAATTTAATTTTTTAAAAATTATTTTTGCTGTGTTTTTGAATATTAGAATTTAGGGATTGAAACAATATAAGGAATTTTCCTGTTTTAAAAGCTCTTAACACTTAGTTTAGGGTCCATTTTCTGTCTGGAATGTAGAGAGGGAGACTGTTTCAGAGAAAGTTTCAGTGTCTAGATTCTTAAGTATCAGAGGGGTAGCCATGTTAGTCTGGATCTGTAAAAAGCAACAGAGAGTCCTGTGGCACCTTTAAGACTAACAGATGTATTGGAGCATAAGCTTTCATGGGTGAATACCCACTTCGTCAGACGCATGACGTGTCTAGAGTGTCTAGATTCTGGCTGTTTTCAGTACTTTTGGGAAGTTATAACTCATTCTTATTTTATGTCTTTTGTTATTGTCTTACTTCAACACTTAAAATCAACTTATGAGTCATTTATTTGCAAATGTAACCCAGCTCAGCCAGTGTCCGATGGTGCTAGAGGTGGGATTTGAACAAATGACTCCACATGAACAGGAAATAGGATTTATTTCCTTACCAGCTTTGTCCATTTCTGTTTAGGAAATGCTCTTTTTTTGTTTTGTTTTGTTTTGCTTTCTCAATGGTCCTTTTTGGAGTGTGCAAGTGTGACCATGCACAAATAGCATAAAAACTTCTTCACAGGCTTGAGAATGGGGTGGCTTAGCTTGTGCTTACTCTACTAATAGGATTACGGACTCTGTTGCTACACAGAACAGATCCTGCTTAAATAGGGATGATTCTGTTTCTGCATGGAGTACCATCAGACTGAAACTAGGCTGCACCTTCTAGAGCAGGGGTGGGCAAACTTTTTAGACCGAGGGCCACATCTGGGTATGGAAATTGTATGGTGGGCCATGAATGCTCACAAAATTGGGGGTTGGGGTGCGGGAGGAGATGAGGGCTCCAGCTGGGGGTGCGGGCTCTGGGCTGGGGATGAGAGATTAGGGGTGCAGGAGGATGCTCTGGGCTGGGACTAAGGAGTTCGAGGGCAGGAGGGGAATCAGGGCTGAGGCAGGGGGTTGGGGCGCAGGAGGGGGTCAGGGGTGCTGGCTCTGGGCAGCACTTACCTCAAGCAGCTCGCAGAAGCAGCAGCATGTCCCCCATCCAGCTCCTACACGGAGGCGCAGCCAGGCAGCTCTGCACACTGCCCTGTCTGCAGACGCTGCCCCTGCAGCTCCCATTGGCCGTGGTTCCTGGCCAATGGGAGCTGCGGGGGCAGCGCTTGGGGCAGTGTGCGGAGCCCCCTGGCTGCCCCTATGCTTAGGAGCCAAGGGGGGACATGCCACTGCTTCCAGGAGCCGGGCAGAGCAGGGCAAGCCCCCGACCCCGCTCCCTGGCGTGAGCTCGAGGGCCAGATTAAAACATCTGGAGGGGCAGATGTGGCCCCCTGGCAGTAGTTTGCCCACCCCCATTGTAGAGGCTCCAATTCTGGCAGATATGCTCCCTACCATAGTTCCTGCCTGTGGCACATAATAGTCTGTTCTCCCAGGGGCTTCAGTCTAATTTTGGTTGTTGGGTGGTGGTGATGCCTGTGCCATACAGGAAGACATACTAGATGACATGTTGGTCCCTTCTGGTCTTACTCTATGACCTCTCTCTTTCTCTCTCCCTCCCTCCCATTCATTCACTGCCTTGCAGTTGGTTAGGAAGTTCCAGGCTTGAAACAGTTGCATTTTGGCAGTCTCCAAGAGAGAGGGAGACCTCAGAAAGTGCAGTCTCATTGCCTGTCAGGTGGCCTGTCAATTGTTTTGAGATGCCACGGCACAGATTCACATAACAGTGCAGTCAAGTTAGTGGGGACTGATTTTCTCCACCTTTTGACCCAATTCCAATCCGCCTTCAGTAGTCTCCTTTACTTTGCATATAGCCGCTTCCTCTGTCCCCTCTCAACTCCAGTGTCATAGGGCCTCTGGATCGGGCAGTAAGTTTTACTCTCTATCTCCATGCAGAGTATCTTTCAGCCAGATTCTCAGTCCCTTCCCACTTTCCTGGGATTGATAATCTGGCTGTGGGTCAATTTGGAAGGCTGGATTGTTTTTGGCAGGGCTGATGGAACTGAAGTCAGTTTCTGTATGAGGAGGACTCCTTTATTCAGAAAGCTCCTAGGAAGACATGGTTCAGGTCTCCCTTCATGGGCTTCCAGTTCGATGGGGAACACACCACATTTATCTGCTCCCCAGAAGCTGCTGTGAGACCTGTTAATCTCTCATATGCCTAGGTGTGGTGGACACCTTGTCAGAAGCTGACTCTTCTGATTTCACAGGCAGTCTCCATCAAGGAAGGAGAGCATCTCTGACTGGTAATTCTATCAGACTTTTTCTGCTATTTATAATTTGTACAAAGTTGCTCCTGTGACTTAAAATAACACAACTACTAGTAGTTTCAATCTTCTATTCTATTGGGATCCAAGTACTTTTCCTCCAGTTATATTATTGAGAAGGATATGGAAAATCTGAGATGAAATTGCCTCTTTCTCTTGTCACTTTCATATCCGTATATTTCAATAGAACTTCATGTGGGGGGAGAGAGTGGATGAAATTTTATTGATGAAATTTGCAACTGCAGTCAATGTAAAAAAGTAATTTTGGCAATAACAAAAAACTCCTTTTACAAAGTTTCATTTTTCACTAAAGCCTACAAGTGTACATATATTTTCTGTGAGTAATTACAGAATATTTGCTGTAGGCTTCCTATTCTTAATATTGCAGGAAAGAAAACCTTTACTTTGCATCTTATCAGTATGCAAACCCAAAAAGTGGTAGTCGTGTTTTTTTTAAATGCCACTAAAAGTGTTGCTGATTTTTACTCCTACTCTTCTAAGACTATAATTTATTTGAATCAACTTCACTTACCATATGACAGCATGGCTATTACTAATAATTTTCTATATCCTCCAGCTTACTTTTTTCATTATGTTCACCTTTTCCTTCCTGAACAGTGTGTGTCACTAAGTTCCTCAAATAGTGATTTAAGCATAGGGCAAAACTAAGAATTATTCTAATACTGTCTTTTGGCGCTGTATAAATTAGTATGTTGGGATATGCAGTGTAGTTGTAACCATAATGATCCCAGGATATTTGAGAGAGGTGGGTGAGGTAATATCTTTTATTAGACCAGCTTCTATAGGTGAGAGAGTTGTTGGGGATATTTAGTTACAGCTACACCTCTACCCCGAGATAACGCGACCCAATATAACACGAATTCGGATATAACGCAGTAAAGCAGTGCTCCGGGGGGGCGGGGCTGCGCACTCCGGTGGATCAAAGCAAGTTCGATATAACGCGGTTTCACCTATAACACGGTAAGTTTTTTTGGCTCCCGAGGACAGTGTTATATCGAGGTAGAGGTGTACCATGGTGGGTGTATTCGGGACAGGCATGGTCAGAACACAATTGTAGGTTGTGCTAAACCATGTTCCTGAGCAATCCTACAGACTGCTAAAATTCAAGGCTGCAGTACAGTTCAGTAACACTATCAAAATATGGTTCAGTCCTGTTGATAGTGCAAGACTGAAGATATTTTAAAAATGAACAGATGACTGACCTATTGTGGCCAGGTTCCATAGCACTATAACTTCTACTGTGCAGTGTAGATGGGACATTAGAAAGCTCTGGACAAGAATTTCATTTACACAAAAATTGTTTCTAAATTGTAAATACTCTTCCTTATTTTTAGTAAAAAGCGTTTCTTTGGATTTATTCTTCTGAAACAAAGCAATTGTTTAAAACCTACTCCCTTGAAGAATAACAACAATATAGTTCACTTGCTTTCTTTAGTTCAGGGGTTCTCAAACTGGGGGTAGTGACCCCTCAGGGGGTTGTGAGGTTATTACGTGGGGGGTCACGAGGTGTCAGCCTCCACCCCTAACCCCACTTCTCCTCCAGCATTTATAATAGAGTTAAATATTTTAAAAGTACTGGTAATTTAATTTATAAGGGGAGTTAAACTCACAGGCTTACTGTATGAAAGGGGTCACCAATACAAAAGTTTGAGAACCAGTGCCTTAGTTTCTGCTTGTGAGGAGGCTAAGGTAGTGGCACAAATTTAGGTCATTAGAGAGAGAGCATGTTGAGCCAGAACCATTTTTATAGAGAAAGATGCTAATGAGAAGGGCTGGCCTTATGGACAAATAAAGTAAGCAACATTTTCAGCTAACAAGCTAGTGCAACAGCAGAACCATATGGGAAGGAACACTTCACTATCAAACAATCTGTTTCTAACAGAATTGGAAGAGGAGACTGTTTAAGGCTTCATTTCCTCCTCACCCTCTTGCCCTTCCCATTCCAGCATCTTGAGCTTCTGCCTTGTTTGGGTTGGGGGTCCCACCATTCATAAGCCCTACTAAGCAATGTTGAAAACATATAAGCTCTACTCTGGGAAGAATGTTTGGAAACTATTCTGGCTAACATAGTTTCCCTTGAATGTAGGTGGGACTTCATAATTCATTACTTTTCAAAACTGAAATCCAAGACTTCTGTTCAAATCTAGAGAAAATATTTTTCCTGTGTAAACATGGCATGACCTTCAAATCCTGATAATTTAGGAAGGGTTTATGTTTAACCATTAAAATGTTCAGAATTAGTAAATGATATGAGAGGATGTGGTATATTGCACAATATATATATTATAGGTGGGGCTGGTAGAGAGTTTGTCTGTTATCAAAGTTGCGCCACACTTCTCACTACAAAGTCCTGTTTTCAGTAGCTTATAGCTAGGCTTGGAAGGATTAGATTTTTGTTGGTAAATGTTGATTTCACTTTACACACACAAATCGATGAAAAAATATTTCCATTGATAATAATTAAAATTTACGGATAGGCAAAGTAAGAAAAGTGCTGCTTGAGAACCTGCTTGGTTTAAGGATATTTACTTTGTATATTTTGACATGTGATATTGACAATTTGTGTTTTTAGAGGCTATAAAAGTTTAACTTTTTTAATCTCAATGTCTACTGTCATTAAATAATTAGCTGATCCCCTATTTTTTGATTCCCAGCATAATTTCCTGCAATTTTGAAAATTTAAATAGATAAATATAGGGAAAAATGCTTAAAAATAAACATTGATATTATCCATCAAAATTATTTAAAAAAAATTGAATTCTGCCAAGCTAATTTAAAACTTTCCCAGACTTTAAATTTTTGGGCTTAAATTTTCCATGCTAGGTGTCCGCCTCAGGCTCATTTTTCAATTTCAGCCAAATGAATCAGCCATTTCCAAGAATGAGGTGAGGGGAAAATAAGTTGGTTTGCTTATGTTAAAAAGTTTTCATGGCCTTTGCTTTAAAAACCTCTGATATCTCATGCCTTGGATAACAGGCTTGAAATGTGGGAGGGGGATGCCTTTGTGTCAGGCAACCTTAATTCTGGCATTTTAAATTTTTTGAGTGCTTGACTTTTCAACCTTAATACTCTCTTAACATTTCCCCCCATGTTTTCACAATACGTTTATGTCTTGGTATTGGTTATATTGGGGAATCTCAAACTTTTTCATATCCTGGACCACATCTCAATAGTGCAGTTGTCTCTTGGAGACCATTTACTGTCCAGTTCATGATCACATAACACCCTGGGGCAAATAAAGCAATTTCAAACATACAGAAAGAATTTGACTTTACCTCTTTTTAATATGTTATTTGGTCCCTGTGCCTTTTTTGCTTTTCATTTCAACTCCCCTCATATCTATTATGGAAACAAATAGACCCAAAACCATGTGACCAGCCAGATCTCTGAAGACCAACAGTGGTCTATGGGCCAAAGTTTGGGAAACTGCAGGGTAGATTACTGGTTAGTTTCTATCTAGTCTTGTGCCATTAAGAAAATTAGCTGGCTTGGTTCTTAAATGGGATAATAGTTTTGTGAGCCATTTTGATATAATATTAATAACACAGACTGATTCTGTTGACTCACATGAGAGCATTTCTTTGGGGTTCAGTAATAAGTCTTCGTGAAGCTCATTATTCTACTGAACTGCTTAGCAGCAGTCATCTTTTCTGATGCTATGACTTTGTGCCCTTTCTCTGTTGGAGTCACTCTTGTTCAGACAGGCCTCTCCTCAGCTCTAACCTGTTCACTTCCTAATTTTTGCAGAACTGCTTGAGGGACCTTAGCTAGGTCTGTTTTTTGACCATTTTATTGCTCTTGTAGATGTTATTTTATTTTGATTCCTGTATTTTGAGGAACTTACTTGCTGAACTTTCATAATTGGCTTTTGTGGCTACTAAACTCTTAATAGTAGAAGCCCACTGAAATATATTAGGGATTTTGTTTAATTTGAGTCTTATTACCCATTAACAACAATTGTTGTTGGAACATATTTTTAAAAACTACTGAATGACTTAAAATACTAATTCCTGCCTATCAAAACTTTTAATGGCACCTGGTGCTACCAATAATTCCCTTCCTGGATTTTTGCTGAGAGATACTTGACCTTATAGCCATCATTTATATTGAACCATTGGCTTGGAATATATATATTTTTTCTTGAACTTGAACTGTATACAGATTATGATCAGATTATGACCACAATCATAAGATTTTTTCTTGAATGGTTAAAAAAATGGCTTGAACTAGGTACAAATCTATATTGTACTCTTCTGAAGTATGTTAGCCCTAAGTCCATCCACACTATTTTGTTTACAGAAGGACCCACTCACATAACCTATCTTTAAATTTGTCAAATTAATAGTGTTCTATGTTTTTGTAGTATGAAGATTGCTGAAAGAAATCTTGGAGTAATTGTAACAAACTGTGCTAACATCAGCTAGTGAATCTCTTCCTGTAGATGACCTTTTAGAAGATTAGCTTTAGAAAACTTTTCTCTGTTGTAACATTCACTTTCTGAAAACCTCTTCCTGTTGGGGGACTGCCTTTTGAAAGAATGTTCATCTTCTAATTATTGTTGCTTGGCTTGAGATGTTTCTGATTCTCCAGCTGCTTCATTTCTTTTACATCTGACACAAGATAGAAATTTAGAGGGTAGGGTGATGACAGAGAGTAGATACTGCAGTGGAGAGGGAAGGACAGAGAAGTTTCCAATTAATAGAACCATAGGAATTAATTGGAAAACATCTCCCTCCCTTCTACTCCTCCAGCCAGTGCAGTTATCCCCTACAATGTGTTTTCTAATCCTCTGCCCAGTCCATTTTTTGAAGTACAGTTTTACTCTGAAAAGTGACTCTGTAAAAATGTTATCATGGGGATATACATTAATTGTTTCTCAATTATTTCTGTAATAAATATGCTTGCTCAGTACAAAGTAATCCTTTTAGAAATTCTAATGATTATTTTGCTGTTATATGACCACCTTCTGCAGCTGTGCCAATTTGCATGTTAAAGGATTGCTGGTTGATTGAACTTTGTTCCTGACAACCTAATGTATTAGTACCACTTTATAGATGTGATAAGATTGAAATATTCCAGATAGACAAACATTTAGTTCTGAAATAATCTAAATAGTTTTCTTTTAATACTCCTTTTTCATAGCTTGGTGATCCATCCATTTTCCCTGCTGTCATTGTGGAACATATTCCTAGTGCAGACCTCCTACACAATTATTCTGGCTTAGCTTGCGTTGATGAATCCAGTGACATGATTACTGAGAGTTCCCTGGATGTTGCAGAAGAGCAAATAATAGAAGATGATGACATCACCCTTACAGGTTTGTTAGAGAAATATTTCTGTACAGTATGACAGAGGCTTACGGTGACAAACGTTTTCATGACAAAGAGCAAAATCAACCAAAGTTCTGCCCAGACCAAGTAAGGAAGAAATGTATAGGATTATACTATGTTCTTTGTTATGAAGTAAACAGTTTTCTATCTAAATAGTATTTCAACAAAAAAATGGGTTTTCAACTTAAGGAAAACGTGTTTGCTTTCTGTGGAGAATTTTGGACTTTCTAACCAGAACCAAAAAATTTCATTGTTTGAATTTCTGCTGAAATGTTTTTTGATCAGTTCTATTTGCCACATTACTGACAAGAAAGCACTTTTGAGTTGCAATTTAGCAATAATATTCAGGGTCTTTTACTTTCTGATATTAAAGGTTGATTAAAGTTTATTTGTCCTGCGTTAAATGAACAATAGTACAAATACAAGCCCCAGAAATGTGGTTTCAAACTCCAGTGAAAGTATTCTAAAAATGACACTGTTTTTTATTTTATTTGAAACATATGAATTGCAAAAAGTTGTTTATATCTAATTTTAAAATTGCAGCGAGCCATGTTAGCCAGTCAGGAAATTCAAAAATTTAAGGTTCTAGCAACAAGGGTAACCCGACATTGTTACACATTGTTGTGTGTCTTATGGTTTGCATTTTACAGATGAATGCTACACATTTTACCAGGAAAAACAACAACAGAGAGCATGGAATGTACCCAATGTGGCAAAGTTATGGTGCTGTTGGAAAAATAAGCAGCAAAGCTCCCTGCCCCCCTCCTCCACCACTTAATACTGTAACTCTGGTTCCCCAAAATGCATCAAGAAAACATGAGATGGAGCAAGTAGAAAATATTTTCTTAAACTAGAATACTTTATTATTGAGTGCCATTAATGCTGTACAGTAGAGAAGACAACACAGATACCACCCTTAAGGTATGCCTACGCTGCAAAAAAAGCTGCGTTTGTAACTCAGATTAGCTAATCCTGGAAAAGCGGCAATGAAGACATGGTAACTAAACTTTTAACTCAGTTTAGTAGCTCCGGTTCTAGCTCAGGCTGCCCTTTAGGCTTGAATTTGAGCTGTTGAGCTGAGTTGCTGTGTCTTGACTGCCATTTTAACCCAAGTTAAGAACACTTCTTCTTCTTCTTCTTCGAGTGCTTGCTCAG